TGTTGTACTTGTGTTCTCATTCACTTCTAAGAATTTTTTAATCTCCTCCTTGATGTCTTTAGCAACCCATTGTTCATTCAGTAGCATATTATTTAGTCTCCAGGTGTGAGTAGTTTTTATTTTTTATTTTATCATTGATTTCTAATTTAATTCCATTATGATCGGATAGAATGCAGGGTAGTATCTCTACTTTTTTTATATTTGCTAAGAGTTGCTTTGTGGCATAATATATGGTCTATTTTAGAGAAGATCCATGTGCTGCTGAGAAGAAAGTGTATTTGCTCATTGAAGGATGAAATATTCTATAATATTGAGTTCATGTTTTTTTGGGGTTTTTTTGTTCAGCTCTTGTTTGAAAGATCTATCTAGTGGTGAAAGAGGTGTGTTAAAGTCATCCAGAATTATTGTGTTGTGATCTATCTGACTCTTGATCTTGAGAAGAGTTTGTTTGATAAACATAGATACTGCATCGTTCGGGGCATATATATTTATTATTGTTATGTCTTGTTTATGACTGTTTCCCTTAAGCAGTATTAAATATCCTTCTTTATCCCTTTTGATTAACTTTGGCATAAAGTCTACTTTATTTGATATGAGGATGGAAACCTCTGCTTGCTTCCACAGTCCATGTGAATGCAATGTTTTTTCCCAACCTTTCACCTTCAGTCTGTGGATATCTTTTCCTATGAGAYGAGTCTCTTGGAGGCAGCATATTTTTGAATCTTTTTTAAAAATCCAATCTGCCAGTCTATGTCTTTTGATTGGTGAGTTTAGGCCATTAACATTCAGGGTTATTACTGAGACATGATTTGTATTCCCAGTCATTTTTGTTTATTTTTAGTATTTAACTTGACTTGGTTTCTCCTTTGATTAGTTTTTCCTTTAGTGTAATTCCTCCCTTTGCTGATTTTCATTGTTGTTTTTCAATTCCTCTTCATGGAATATTTTGCCAACGATGTTCTGTAGTGAAAGCTTTCTAGTTGTAAATTCTTTAACTTTTGTTTATCACAGAAAGTTTATATTTTATCATCAAATATAAAGCTTAATTTTGCTGGATATAAGATTCTTGCATCCATTTTCTTTCAGAGGTTGGTATATACTGTTCTAGGATCTCCTGGATTTGAGGGCTGGGTTGAAAAATATGCTGAGATAGGAATTGGTCTCCCGCATGTGTGATCTGATTCCTCTCTCTTGCAGCTTTTAAAATTCTATCTTTATTCTGTATGCTAGGCTTTTTCATTATAAGGTGYCTTGGTGTAGATCTGTTATAATTTTGTACATTGGTGTTCTGTAAATCTCTTGTATTTGATTTTCCAATTCATTCTTCATGTTTGGGAAATTTTCTGATATTGTCTCATCGAAGAGATTGTACATTCCCTTGGTTTGAAACTCTATGCCTTCCTCTATCCCAATAACTCTTATATTTGGTATTTTGATGCTATCTCATAATTCTTGGATGTTCTTCTCATGGTTCTTACCACCTTCACTGTGTGGCCAACTTTATTTTCCAGATTGTATACTTTGTCTTCATTATCTGACATTATGTCTTCCAAGTGATCTAGTCTGTTGGTGATACTTCTTTCTTCCTATTATTTTAAATTAATTTTTTAATTTATATATGACAGTGGATTGCATTACAATTCTTATTACACATATGAAGCACAATTTTTCACATCTCTGGTTGTATACAAAGTATAGTCCCGCCAATTCGTGTCTTCATACATTTACTTTGGATAATAATGACCATCACATTCCACCATCATTTCTAACCCCATGCCCCTTCCCTTCCCCTGCAACCTCTCTGCTTTATCTAGAGTTCATCTATTCCTCCCATGCTCCCTCTCCCTATCCCACTATGAATCAGCCTCCTTATATCAGAGAAAATATTTGGCATTTGGTTTGGGGGGATTGGCTATCTTCACTTAACATTATTTTATCTAACTCYATCCATTTACCTGCAAATGCCATGATTTTATTCTCTTTTATTGCCAGGTAATATTCCATTGTGTATATATGCCACATTTTTTTATCCATTTATCTATTGAAGGGCATCTCGGTTGGTTCCACAGATTAGCTATTGTGAATTGTGCTGCTATAAACATTGATATGGTTGTGTCCCTATAGTATGCTGTTTTTAAGTCCTTTGGGTATAGACTGAGGAGAGAGATAGCCAGGTCAAATGGTGGTTCCATTCCTAGTTTTTCAAGGATTCTTCGAACTGCTTTCCATATTGGCTGCACCATTTTGCAGTCCCACCAGCAGTGTATGAGTGTACCTTTTTCCCCACATTTTTGCCAACACTTATTGTTTTTGTATTCATAATATCTGCCATTCTGACTGGAGTGAGATGAAATCTTAGAGTTGTTGGTGATACTTTCTATTGAGGTTTTTATTTGGTTTATTATTTTCTTCATTTGAAGGATTTCTGATTTTTTTCAGAATCTCTATCTCTTTCTTGAAGTAACTTTTGCTACCTGTATTTGCTCCCTTATCTGTTTATTGATGTGATATGGATGCCTGTATTTTCTCCCTTATCTGTTTATTGGTGTCATTAATGGTTGCCTATATTTGCTCTCTTATCTCTTTGTTGGAGTGATCAATTTTTGCCTGTATTTGCTCATTTCGGTCATTCTTTAATTCATAGATCATTTTAATTATGAACATTCTGAACTCCTTTTCTGACATTTGATCAACTGTGCTGTTCATGGCTTCTGTTATTGTAATATCCTGGTTTGTTTGGGGCACTTTCCTCCCTTGTTTTTTCAGGTTGTCTATGTGATTTCCTTACTTGTAGTGTGGATCTGAGGTATTACAGTTTATACCCTATTATTTTGTGGTATCTGTGCAGATTATCTGTATGTCACCTTGGTGCCCCAGGATGGATGCTACTGCAACTATAGGTGGTGGCGGCGGTAATAGCAGGCGGTAACTTGAGATAGCAGTGGAGGTGCCCCAAGATGGTGGATGCAATGTCTCTCAGAGATGGGACTGAAAGGCGGGCCTTACACTGGCTTTGGGATGCCTGCTCCAAGATGCAGCTGCTTCTAGGCCCTATCTTTTGTTCCAAGGTAGAGGCTACTTTATGGGAAAGACTATGGGGATGGCTGCAGTTTCTCAAGGTGAAAGTGGGTTAGATCTGGGCTCCCAGGTGGTGGTGGTGGGGTGGACCCAAGCTTACCTTGGGCCCTGGCTCCCTCACAGGTCAGCGAGGCCAGTCTGGGCCAAGCCTGAGCTCTGTTGGGAGTCCCCCCATGCGGGATGGACTCAGGCCTACCCAGGGTCCGAGTAACTCTTTCAAGGGCTTCTTATTGAGTAGCTCCATCTCCTAACTCAAAATCATAAAATTTCTCTAAGTAGAAAATTTTATGGAAAGAGAAAACGAGTAATGTGGAATTTCAGTATGGTAGACTGGGCCCATTGGGGAGAGAATAGAGATCTAGAACTTAATCGCTTCTTCCTACCCTAGTCTGTGTAACATTTCCTGCAGTGCTTGTCTCAATTGTAATTATACCAACAGATAGGTGGTTATTAATAAGAAAGGAGGAAATATCCACAAGAAAAATGAAAAGCTCTTGAGAAAGATTGTGGGAGGTCATTCAATTCAATGAACATGTACTGAGTATCAGTTGTGTGCAAGGAGTTTTTCTGGGTTTTTCAATTCAGGGGAGGAAAATCAAAGTTTGTTCTGTGACCTCCTACATGGCTAACCCTGTACTAAGCATTTTACAAAGTTTTGCTCATTTTATTCTTGCCACCATTCTGAAGCAGCTGTTATCATCCTGTTTTACAGATGAGAACACTAAGCCTCTATGAGGCTAAGTAACTTTCCCAAGTTCAGTTCAATAAAAGAGAAAGCAGGATTCCAGTTCATATCTCTCTGGCATCAAAGTCTATGTTGAATCATTTTCATACATATTACCTCTTTTATATTCAACAACTTGTAGGACTAGCATAATTTTCTTTTCTTGACAAAGTAATTAGGGGGTTCAAAAATACACATGAAGGGCTGGGGTTGTAGCTCAGTTGTAGAGCACTTGTCTCACAAGCATGAGGCACTGGATTCGATCCTCAGCACCACATAAAAATAAATAAATAAAAATAAAGACATTGTATTCATCTACAACTAAAAAAATTAAAATAACATATGTGGAAAATCATGTGAATAATAAGTATTAAGAGCTGGGAGTTGGGGCTGGGGTTTAGCTCAGTGGTAGAGTGCTTGCTTAGCATGTGTGAGGCACTGGGTTCGATTCTCAGCACCACATATAAATAAATGAAATAAAGGCCCATTGACAACTAAAGAATAGATATTAAAAAAAAATCTGGGAGTGATGTTTGGCTGCTTTTTATTGAGTTGTTACTATGTACCAATACTATTACATATTACCTCACAACTCTATAAAGAAGTATTGATAGCCAGACATATTGATGCATGCCTATAACCCCATAGACTTAGGAGGCTGAGGCAGAAAGATTGCAAATTCAAGGCCAGTCTTGGCAACTTAGGGAGACTCTGTCTCAAAATTTAAAAATTAAAATAAAAAGGACTGAGAATGTAGCTCAGTGGTAAAGCATCCCTGGGCTCAATCACCAGTACAAAAAAAAAAAAAAAAAAAAAAAGCATTGTTTTTCATGGGAAGCAGACGAAAAACAAAACAAAAAGCTTTAGTATCCTGATGAGTAATCCAATTCAGTTTGACTCCTCCAGCAGCTGACAAACATGATTACAGAAAGATCCACAGCTACAAACGCCAAAGGAGAGGAGAGAAAGCCAATGCATTAAAAAGGTGGAACCAATAAACAAATAAGGGCCTAAAATGGGCCTTGCCCTTGGACTGCTTCTTTGTACTTTCCAAATGTTTTCAAATAATAGATGGTAAATGAGTTTGCAAGCAGTAATTGGGACAAAACAATCCAAAGAAGTATACCTTCATCCTTAGTGCCTACAAGCAAGCAGTAGGTGTGTTCAGATATCAATCTGTGAGCCCCAAAGACTTAACATGGCAGTGTTCGGAGTACAAATGACCAGATATGTCTGCCAGACGGTGATGCCCGTCAGTGAAAAGATGCACGTTCTGATCTTTTGAATACAGTACTTGGCTCCATGGGAACATTCCCAAATAATCAATAACATAGGCTACATCAATGTATGAGTCCAGTTATACAAACAGAGAAAAGGTAACCATTTCAAAATGCCTTTAGCAACCCAGTCTGCAGATTGTTATTGGTGTGACTATTGCTGAAGCAGGTGTTGGGTTCATAAATTTGCATAACAAAATGTTTTTCTTGTGGCAGCAGCCCATACAATAATTGGTGCCATCTGTATTTATCTGAAGTTGAGTTTCTAATATGAATGCAAAAAATCTTGCACTTTGTAATTTCATAGTGCCCATTTGATTCTGGGGGGTGCCTGATGTTGGAGAGATGTTCATCATTTCCCAAGAAAATGCTCATTGAAGGAAAATGTTAAAGTAATAACATATGTTGCTTTTTCTTCATGGATCATTTTCATTTCTCACTACATCAAGCAAAAAGCCCCCACACCTACAGAACTGCTTCTTCAGGGCAGCAAGTAGGGAAGATCCAGCTAGGATGGAAAACCAACAGCCCCTGTCAACACATTTACAATACTCTTGAAAGGCACGACTTCCCCTAGGTCCTCTCTCCGCTGGAAGCATTCTGTTTTCTAACCTTAACCAATCTGGAGCAACTGGAGTTTAGCACCAATATATCATCACCCACCTTTACCAACTGAGAGAGCAGAAGCYATTTAAGTTGCAGTTTTATGTCTATTTCTAATGAGAGAAGTAGAACAGAAATTGCATTAAAGCTTTATTCTCCAAACTCTGGGAGACAAAGATGGAATAGTCTAAATAAAGAATGTCCCAGAATCTTAGAGGTTGTCCTTTTCAATGAATACCTAAATCAACTCTGTGGCTGTAGCAATTCAAGCCCATTACAGAACTGTAAGACAATTACTAAAAGCATTCTTTCAGTATTCTATAATTTTTCTATGTACAGGTCCATGAAGATCTTCATCAATTAAAGGATAAATTAACAAAATTCCCATCAGAGCAGAAAGGAGAGACTCTAGACATTCAGAATCTTGAAACAGCAATCCAAAGGACTGAACTGGGGTTAAGAGTAAGTAGAGCTTTAGATATTGAATAAAATACTGGAAGGAGAAAAAGTAGCATCTAGAAGACCTTGTGTGATTCTGTAACAGAGTGGGATTTTCAGGTGGTCATTCGCATTCAAAATTTTTTTTTCTTTTTTGCCTTTTTTGATAATGGTTCTCATTAGCTAAGATTTGCATCCTGTCAGATTCCACAAAGAATTGAAGGAGGTGAAATGTAAGATTCTTTGCAGTGGCCACTTCTAAAATGAGGCAGAAAGACTGCAAATTCTAAAATGTGGTCTGATAAAAACAACTCAGAGTCCAAAAAATAATTACTATAGATCTAACAATATGTCTAAACAAAAAGGATTCATACTAAGCAAATTTACTGGGATTCTAAAAATTAAGGGTTGAGTGTTCCCATTAAATATTTTGAGCTATTCATTTTTGTTAAATCATTTTGTTAATCAAGTGGTTAAAATCAAAGAAATGTACCAATTTGGGGATGGAGAGATAAACTAGTTAAGAGACTTCATCATTATAAACAGACCTAAGATCCAGGACAATCCAACCTTCAGACCAGGATAATGTTCATTTATGAAGCCAGCATGTGTCAGCCAGGGGGGCCCTCCTCCAACTGAGGTCCCTCTCCATCTTCTAGACCTCTGCCTTTCAGTGTCTCTATTGCTTCAGACTTTCACTCTCCTATGTAATCAGTTTTGTCACCCAGCTCCTGAGGCTGTGAGAAATGTGGTGTATTTTGTATCCTCCTCAAACTAGCACATCATTGTCCTATTTTACCTGATGGTGAGAGGGCTGGACCCAGCTGGAGTCTTTGGGTTGACCGTTTTAAATTATGCTACCTGAAGGCCAAATGCATTCTTTCATTGCTTGCTTGAAGTCCCTGTAAGAGAAGGATGTTACTCYATGTCTATATTGCCTTGTAGATTCACCTGGCTGAGCAGTCCGCTGACTACTGTGCAGTTTCATTTGTGAAAAGCGCTACAGGTCACTCAAGCTTTAAGTCTCAGTTGTTTRTTAACGTTTTTGAGGCTAGTTGAAGTCATTTGGCCTTGAGATGTTTAATGACACCTTAGGCATGGAATAACACATAGCATGTTACGTTTTTTGGCTTAATTACACAATTCAGAGTGTTAACCTAATGAAACTAAGTAATTTAGCTAAGGATCTTAAGTCCACCATAATGACCTAAACTTTGACTTTTCTGTAACAGATTCATATTGAGAAGTATTTAGATGTTGTAAACCATCATGTATTAGTGACTCCTATGAATGAGAACTTACAGTCTTCTCTGGCTTCCAAATGGTAAGTAAAATAGCCATATTAGGCCCAAATTAAATAAAATTAAAAAGTAACTTCTTTTCCCAGGTGAGATGACTATAAAGGCAAGTTTTTCTTGGATCACATTTTTCTCCTAATTTCAGCAAGTTTTGCATAGGAAGTGTCCAAATGTGGACTCTAATGAAGTTGATTGCAGGTTCCTTCTATTGAGTTCTTCTTGACCCCATAACAATTATTTCAGGCTTTTAGATTTTAGTGTTACTCTGGGTTTTTTTTTTTTTTTTTTTTTTTTTTTTTTTTTTTTTTTTTTTTTTTTTTTTTTTTTTTTTTTAGTGAAAGGTATTTAAGATTCAACTCCTAAAGGAAACATTTTAACCTAACTCATTTTTACACTCTGAACATCACCTGATACTTTATTTACAGTTTTTAGAATGTTACATATGCTTATTATAAAGATGATTTTGGTGTCCATGGTAAAAATAATAAAGCTTGCTGAAATATCCATTATATAATACATCCTTAAAGATGATTTCTTAAAATTAGGATTGAGTTTACAAAGAAGTGACCTTGCCTTACTGGACTTTCTTACATTGGCCTCCTTAATGAATGAATGAATRAATGTAGATTAAGCTGTAGTACTAAGCTTAAAAACCCTGTGACTCTCTCATGTTTTATATCTGTATCAAGCATAAGTTGTAACATGACACTAAAGTTACATTTCAGAAACAGTGCAAGGGAGTCATGGAAAGCCACAGTCACAGCCAAATCCTAGCACTCGGTATTGGCAAGCAGAGCTTTGTGGCATCAGTGCCACAGGTAYCCATCATCCTTGTTAGGGACACCCCTTCCCTGGTGTTGCTATTTCTCTCTGGACCTCCTTGCAGACACAAGCATCTGTCATCTCAGACGACTCTAGATGCATCACCATTTCATTCTTTCTGCATAGATGACACTTGCATTAGTTATCTATTGCTTTGTAACAAATTACCCCAAATTTAGTGGCTTATAATAGCAAATCCTTACCTCATAGTTTCTGTCCTCAGGAATCTGGGCACAGCTTAGTTAAGTACCTCTGGCTCAGGGATTCTCAAAAGATTATGATCTCTAAGTGTTGGCGGGCAGTCTCCTTTGAAGGAATGGGAAGGGCAGGAGGGTGAGGGACAGGAAGAGATCTGCTTCCAAGGTCACTCACATGGTTACTGGAAGGCTTGGTTTCTCAACATGTGAGAAACTGCGTCTCTCTCAGCTGGTGACTTGAGAGGGATTTACAAAGTAAGAGAGAGTGCCCTTTGTGGAAGCCAAAGCCGTAGTTCTTTTGTAAACTAATCTCAGAAGTGATATCTTGCCGCTTCTACCCCATTCTGTTGTTAAAAGTGGAACCGTTGGTTTAGCCCACACTCCAGGGGAAGAGATTACCCAAAGGCATGGATAACAGGGGTGAGAAACACTGGGGGCCATGTAGGAAGCCACCTACCACTACAGTCTTCTGTCTTCACGTTCCAGCTTTGATCTATTTTCTCTATTAAGCTTTCCCTAACCTCTCCAAACTATTTCTGAAGTTTCAAAACACTCAGCACCCATATAACTCCCTCAGCATACATCACCAACTATCTTACATTGATAGCTACTTTTGTATTGTCTTGAGAGCAGCGACCGCATACCTGCCAGGCGAGCGCGCTACTGCTTGAGCCACATCCCCAGCCCCTCAGTAGTCCTAGTTTATCATAGTGTCTGGCACTTGATAGGACCTCAATAAATGCTTGCTCTTGATGGTAATACTTTATCCTTTTATTTCTTCTGTGGATAGTGCATGAAGTTTACTTATCTATATTACCTCATTTGATTCTTTAAATAACTGTGTCATAGGCTTGATAAATATTATCCTTATTTTATAAATGTATAAAATGAGGTCATAGAGTTTAAAGGATTTGACTAAGATTTTAAAGTTATTCTCTCAACTCTCAACATTCTCTTCACTAATTGAAATCCTCTTTGCATATATTAGAATCATTAGCCAAAGTCAAAGGATTAAACATTCAAGTGCAGAGACAGGAATGGATTGTGTGTGATTTAGTTCTGTCATATTTCTTAGAAAACTGGAGAGCTTTTAAGTAACTAACCTCTGCCTTTCTGGCAAATTCCTGGTGTGTGATTACATGACATGCTCTACATGGGGAAGAGGAGAAAAGTCTCCCAGAACTCCAATCTTTAGCTGGGAACCTAGAGAAGCAGGAAAGCCTGGAAATATTCAAATGATATGGGCATCATGATACAGGAATATTATCTGTCATCAATAGTCCTTTCTAATAATCGACACACTGACTCCCAGTCTCTACCAACTTCTGGGTGTATAGTGAGTCTGAAAACTCATTCTCCTCTCCTCCCTCTTTTTCTTACTTTGGCATCTTGAACCAGGCCATCTTTTCAGCCCACATCTAATTTAAATCAGGAGGTTTTAAATGAATCTGTACTTTGTGGTAGCAGAATGGCTGATGCTCTATGGAATTCAAAAGAAGGTTGCTGCCTCAGGATCTGTCTAATCCAGGAGAAAATCTCAGTGCAAATGCCAGTGCATGGTGGCACATGATTAAAAGGTGATATAAGTACAGCAGGAAATCAGAATATGGAGAGGTTACTAGGGGTTTCCCTGGTCTGGGAAGGTTTCATAGTAAAGTAGTACTTGAGTTCAGGTAAGCAGGAAAGGAAAGGGAGCTCTTTCTGAGAAAGTGGCATCTTGAACTAGGCCATCTTTTCAGCCCACATCTAATTTAAATCAAGAGGTTTTAAATCTGTACTTTGAGGAACCACACAGGGAATAAACTGCGGGGGGGGGGGGTGTCTGTTCAACTGGGAAGACCAGTAGACTTAGAGGAGAGAAATGGGGGTGGGGAATTAAATAGGGAGACAGACTGGGCAAGAATAAAATATAAATTTATTTTTTTTTAGAAAGGAGGAAGTCATTGAAGGTATTTGTGTCAAATTGTGACAAGATGAAAGTGACATTTTATAAAGATTAATCTGGAAAATCTGTATGGGGGGGGAATAATAGTCTAGAGATCGACAACCAGTAGATAGATCACCACAGTTACCCACACATTCACTTAATGGTTTAGTAATAATTAATTTATTCAACAAACATTTATTAAACAGTTTTACTAAGCATGATGTTAAATACTGGAGATATTAGCTATAGACCTTGTTGTGATAACTCAAAGTTTAATCTGGAATATACAGACCTGGACAAAGATGATAGTAAGAGGGAGTAAAAGAAGAGGTTGATTTGTGATATTTGGAAGACTCTCAATTAATAGACTCAGGAATGACTCTAAGATGTAGGTCTGGAGCACTGAGAAGGTAGAGGAGTCATTGATCTAAAATGATAGCTAATGGAAACCTGCTTGGGAAGGAGGGAGCCAAGTTTTGTTGGAACCTCCTCATGCAGATGAGGCTTGGTTTGGGGAAAGATGAAGCAGGAGATACTCAATTTCATTAAGTTCTAAGTCCCAGTAGGTTGAGATAAGGAGCTAAGAAAACCAAGGAAATAGATAAGGTCACATACCAACCTTTAAAAAGTCTTGGAAACAATGAGGCCAGAAGTCAGACAGACAAATATGCATTTATATAGCATGTTAAACTTTACAAAATGCTTTCACATACATTGTCCCAAACCATTCTTAAAACTCACACTGCAAAGYAATTGTTGTAATTATCCCCATTTTACAGCTGAAGAAACTAAGATTGAATAAATTGCACAGGATCACATGGCCAAGAAATCTGTAGGAACTCTAATAAAGCCTAAATTCAGATATATTTTGCCATATAAATGATAATATAATTGTGTTTTCAAGTTATTCTCAATATTTAAAAATTCTTGGAAGAAATAATTATCATTCTAATTAAAACTTCAAAAGTATGCTCTTGACTTGAGTTAAACAATTCAATGAGACAAAATGTGCTTGTCCATACTAATTAAATGCTTTTGGTTTTGGTCATTTATATCCTTAATTTTTAAATTTGGGACTATGACTTCAGATAGATTAGAAACTATGTCTTACAAATACTCTTTGAAAACAAAGAATCTATAGGAACAATTGCAAAAGGGATTCTTGGAGAAGAAAATATTGGAAGTTACTGTACCAACTCAGTCTGCGATCAATATTCTTTTGGCAAGTAGGGGGTCTGCCACTGTGTGGAAATTCTGCTACCCAATTGCTATAACAAGCTAAAGTAACCTTGATACTGGGATTGAATGAGGACTAGGATTTAGAAGTTAGGCTGGCAGGAGCTGCCAATATCTGCTCAAACTCTAAGGGCAGGAAGGGGAGACATATAGTAAGAACTGTTGATCTCTGTTGTTCTGTGACAGCAGAGCACAGTTCATATGAGTAACTGAGAATCAGTCTTGCTCAGATATGAGGCTTCACTGTCTGTGGACACCAAGGAAACTGGAAGAGTTCTTTCCAAATGACTACTACCCCTGGGTACACCTATAAAGATGAGGTAGAACTTGTGTGCAATAATTATTATCCTCAGTGACATTGTGATCTTTATCTTCCATGTCAATATTTTCACCACATTTGACAGTGTGCAGAGGACTTCATTTAAATATGAGAGTGGGGGAGAGGGAGGGAGAGAGATTGATTTACCTGCCGAGGAAGATGAGGCTTAAGTAGACCAGCCCCAGGTCACACAGGTGGTTGGTTGATGGTGAGATCAGACYCAAGTCCAGATCAAATGTCTGGAATCTAATACTCTCCTCTTACTTCACAGCTCTCTGAAAACTGCAAAGCCTGTTTTTCACAAAAGATTGTTTTCCTATTAAGCAAGTATTACTCAAAGGAAAAAATCTCGCAGTTTTGTCTAGTAGAGCTGAAAACCAGTAGGCACACAAAGTGATGATAATGGTTGCAAGCAAATGCAAGATTTTCCTGGCACTCATTCTGAAAACAATGATAAGGACCTTATCAAAGTAGCATATTTTCTCCAAGGAGCTGAAAATGCTTTTGTATTGTTTTCAAAACAGGTTTCACTATTGTCCCCACTTTGGCAATGATTCTTCTTCTGTGTCAGAGCGTGGCTCTTCCTCTTATCATTGCCGGGCTTTCGCAGATTTTATTGCTAGAGATATCTGCTCACACTGTTCTTAATGACCATGCTCTGCTTATTGACACTGGGAGGGTGACTACCATCTGTACCAGCACTATCAGAACTGCACAGAAATCTTCATTTTATACTCTGTGGTGCTGATATTTAGAAGAAAAATAAACAAGAACAAAGAAAATAAATAGTGGTGAGAAACATCGACAGACAAAGAGGCTTCTGTGGAATGGTCAGTATAGGTTAGAAGGCAACTTGTCACTCAATTATTGGAGCACCTTGGATCCAACCCATACTGGGTTGTTCCAGTGCAGTACACAAATCCCAGTAATATAGACTATGCCTACCTGCTAGTGTCCACACAAATGCCCACACACAGAGGGGGAGAGAAGGGGGAGAGAAAGACAGGGAAACAAAACGTCAACACTTGCTGTGCTACATGAGGGGCATTTGGATGCTCACTTTTTTCACTTTTTCTGTGATTTTTAATTTTTTTAAACAAAAAGTAACGTTTTAGACAATATCATAAAATTAAAAAATAATAAACTGGAGAAAAACCATTTGCAACCGATATGACATCAAAAATTGCTAATACAGGGCTGGGGCTGGGGCTCAGCGGTAAAGCGCTCACCTAGCACATGCGAGGCCCTGGGTTCGATCCTCAGCACCATATAAAAATAAATAAAATAAAGGTAATGCATCCAACTACAACTAAAAAATAAATATTTTTAAAAGATTGCTAATACTGTATTCTTAAATACAAAGAATTCTAGCTGCTTCCCCCCC